TCTTTTTCAAGGAGTCCTGGCCAAGAGGCAGCAAAGGGTATACATTTACATAGAGTTACACAATTAAAACACAATACAATCACTATTAAAAACAKTCACAMTTTAAGGAAGTAATCTCTAATTCCCTCAATCTGGACTTAAAGGTGCTCAGTGGGATCAGTTCAGTTAACTTCCAGACTTTTGCAACATGCTCCATGTAGATGGAGCAGAGTAAACAAAGGCCYTTTTCCCCAATTCTGTACGGAGAAATAGGACAGAGAGCAAGAAATAATCATTTGAACGCAAGGAGTGTGAATCAATGCTTTTTCGTGTGATTAGACCACAGATGTAAGATGGTAGCAGCCCAAGCAAAGCCTTATAAATAAAAGTGTACCAATGTCCCAAAGAAAACAAAMTCCGAGACTTCTGGCAACAAGACACATCAGCTCTATGTTCACAGACCCAAAAATTAAGCATAAAGGAAATAGCGCTCTACCTACAGTGAATATGTGCAGGGTGCTGTGAAACCTCAAGACTTTCAAGGCTTTGTGAAGTATTTGCTGCCTAGTGTCATACAGCTTGGTCTCAGTCCCACATCATGGGTTCTCCAACAGAATAATGATTCCAAACACAGCTAAAAACACCCAGGACTGGCTAAAAACAAAACAATGGACTATTTTAAAGTGGCCTTTAAAAATTTCAGTGTATACCACTGTCCACTCCTTTGAGTGTAGGAATATGGGTATATTAGTAAATATTTATATTACCTTCTGTTGTTTTGTTTAAAAAAATGTCATCTGGAGAAGGAACCATTGAAACCCGACACAGCTGAAGCAGTTTTCTTATAAGAAATGGGCCAAAATAAGTGCAGACAGATTCAGAAGTCAGAGTTACAGAARCTGCTTGATTGCAGCAATTGCCCTAAAAACGTGTGCAATGAAATATCAAGTAAAGAGTATTATCTTGCTGAAGTAGTTCAGTGGTCAGCGCAGCAGATTAGTAACCCTGAGGCAGTGGGTTTGACCCCAGGTGTAATCACGAAGGTGGTCTGATGTAACAACTACCAAATCATTTTTGAGTTTACTCACTGTGGTGACCCCTGCAGAAGGGAGCATTTGAGAAAAAAAAAACAGCCATCCTATTTATAAAGACAGGTTTCGTTGTTTTTTTAATTATTATTATTGGTTGATTTTTAGTAATCTTTTTCTTTTGTTTTTTTTCTTTTTCTCCCCAAGTTATCTCAGTGACTTTTATGTGCTTTTTTTTTATCAAAAGGGTAGAAACAAATTTATCYATGCAGGCCTGTGGTATTGCCATGCTTTCCTAACAAGCCTAAAACCAGGCTTGCTCAGGTGTTTTACATGCTGTTAATAGGTACACAGATGTTGTGTGCTTTTATTTAGAAAGAATGAGTGATAAGTAATGAAGTATTGGTGTCATTACGAGGTGTCCCATTCACAATGAGATGTTTTAACTGCTACTCTTCRCAACTCTAAATCAATGGCTAAGAGGTAGTATATTCTGATTCCTGTCCTGTTCTGATTCAGCCCCACCCACTCTCACCCGTTTGTCTCACTGCAAGGTGTTTGTTACTACATTCATTAGTTCACCTTTATTTCTGGGCCTTCCTGTTGATTCCTCAGCGGTTCATTGTTTCAGATTACTTCTCGGTGTCTTGGTCTCCTCTATACTCCCTCATGCTTGCTTCCCTGGAGAATTTGCAAGTTTTGCTGCCACGTTGTTAATTAAAGTCTTTAAGTTTAATTCCCTCAAGTCCTCCATGTGTCTGCACCCTGGGTCAGATTAAATACTCTAACTCCTAACAGCAGGTTGATCTGTGACCTATGGTCCTCTACTACAGCTGCTTCCTGTTTCAAGCTCTTTGCTACTCTGACCTCACCCTGTCTGAGAAATTCACTTATTTACACTAAAAATCCCACTTGTGACCTTCTACATCACCTCACCACCACACAGACCTACAAGCATGGAAACACAGTATTCTCCATAATAACCATTATGTTCAGCTTTGTAAAAAAAAAAAAATTAAAAAGTTATTTTACCTTTAAATATCTCCTTCTGCAGCCTATCAGTCTACATGTTTTGTAAGTTTCCAACCTTTTTCATCCATGTGAGGGGGACATGCTGCGAGTGGAAGTGTGGACTGTGCTCAGCTGAGCTGTAATGCTTCCTGAAAGCTGCAGTCCACACTGATGAGTGCACTCTGGCCYTCACACTCAGCATGGGATTCACTTCTCCTGAGAGCTCTTCTCAGAGGGATCAACATCATTTATACCTCAACTCAGTGAAACAGCACAGCAACAAGGAACACTAGGCTCAGTCAARTTTTCACTGCCGTTTAGATTCACGGGTTGTTGTGAACAACTAATCCAGACATGAGTGTCCTGGTAACTTTCAACCAAAAATAAAAATTTTTTAGAACTAAAACAGCAAAATAAAAAGTTCCTCTGCCACATTGTACTCCTTTGTACCAGCAGATGTCATTTAATATAAAGGAAAACCCGTTTGTACTCAGTCAGCTGTTGATATTTCAGACCAAYAGGCTACAAAACTGCCCACCTATACACTCACAAAATACATTTCTTTGCATATTACCCTGCAACACTGCACATATTCATRTGACCCTGCAGAGAATCAGGCTGTGCTTTATCAATCATTCAAGTTTATTTGTATAGCACATTTCAGCAACAAGGCAGTTGAAAGTGCTTTACATGATAAAAACACAAAAAATTTCTAAGTCATTGAACACAACTGGATCATTACAGTTTGTCAGGTGTCATTGTTACACATCAAAAATGTTGATTAATGTTTCATTTATTATGTTTCATAAGCAACTCTAAACATGTGGGTTTCAGTCTGGATTTAAAGGAACTCATTGTTTCGGCTGTTTTACAAYTTTCTGGGAGTTTGTTCCAGATTTGCRATGGATAGAAGCTGAATGTTGCTTCTCCATGTTTGGTTCTGGTTCTGGGGATRCAGAGCAGACCAGAACCAGAAGACCTGAGAGGTCTGGAAGGTTGATACGACAACAGATCTTTAATGTACACTCTTAAAACAAATGTGTTATTTTTAACACATCTTTTGTGTTAGCATCATGTTAACACATCTTGTGTTGTTTTCAACACATTATGCGTTGWTTTGTAGAAACAACTGGACACAGATAAGATGTGTTACTCCTTCGACCAATCACATCACTCCTTGGAGTTCAACTGAAGCGACTGCCATTACAGGACGTCCTGGAAGCAGGAAATGAAAGGTAAAATAATGTTTTATTCAATAAACTGTTAACAAAGCATAGGTAGAATTCTTGAGGAAATTGATTTTTGCTATTTCATTCCTAAAATGTCAGTCTGTCATAACTTATACTTCCTTGTCATCAGCCAGTGATTGTTAGCTTAGTGTTATGTTCATTTACACTCTTTGTGTTATGTGCTGCAGGTAACAGGTTCTGAGTCGCAGCAGCATTTTACGACAGGGGGGTCATAAGTGTTTGGCCTTTTTTTGGTATGATTGACGGCAGTTCAGTAAACGTTTTTTCTACAAATCATAACGGTGTGTTTTTTTCTGCCTAATGCAAACACAACTCTTAGCTTGATAATTCTTTGGTAAGTTGCTTGTCACCAGCAAACTCCTAATTAAGTTGTGTTTCAAATAAATTAATCRTAAATCGTAATTTTATTACACTGCACAGGGAGCTGTGGCAGTCTGTGGAATACTTTTTTTTGCAAAAACATACACTTTTCTATTATGAAGGTATCTACTTTTTCTGTCTTATATTTCTGTCTAGAAATGATCTAAGCTTCAAAGCACTTCAGGCACTCACCCACTTTCTTCCACCAACTGAACGGGACAAGGGAGGGGTTGGAGTCGCTGCAGTGTAAAATCAGACATTTCTTTCCTGACGGACTTCACACCTGTGTTTGTTGTGTATTGTTAATGTTTTCATTGTGAAGTTATTCGTCCAGTGAAAATATGTGTGAATACATTTTAAGTCTGATATGAAACCAATCACCATAATATCGGGAGTAGCACATGGTCAYGCAAACTTACATCAAGTGAAGRCTAGACCGTCTCAGTTCACATCAGTTTCATGCAGCCTACCCGGACTGGGAAGGACGTGGCCCTTGTGGCCCAGCTGGGCTACGCACTCATGAGGATGCAGCCCATGAGTTGGGACACAGCCATGGTAACAATTAGCCCTTCAGTGTTGCTAACGCTAACACTGTGCTACAAACAATGAGCCKTTGTGGTGTCAAGGAACGCAGAGCATCTCGTCTCCTTTGGGTTACGGAACACATTTGCCAACACCGTCCCAAAAGTACATCATCGTGAAACCCTYGTTATATGAGCTGCTCTTAAAATTCTAAATGGTAYTGCAGCTGTATTAACAGCACCATCTTTCTTTCCGGGTCTGTGCTCTGTCCTAGCTCATTTCTATCCAATGGGAGCAATGACTGTCACCCGCTTGGCTTTCTGAATTATAGTCTACTTGCAAAAAAGCACAAWGTGAATGTAAACCACACCAAATAAAAATAAAGTCTGCTTTTGGTCTGGACCAAAAAATTGGACCAAAGGACATTTCTGGTGTGAATACACCTGTAGCCTCTTTAGTGTCTGAGTGATGGCCCACAAGGGTACAACATGGACAATAGGGGGTACAAAATGAAYATAATGAGTTCTWTAGCAAGTRGTTTCTATGAGTACAAAATGTCCAAAACTKTAAAGGTGAGAATTGGTTAAGGTATAAATTAACCCAGAGCTGTCTTAACAATTTATTTTAAGAGAACTTTAAAAATATCCAAAGGACTGTACAAGATCTCAGATTTGTAACACACATCTATTATACTGTACAAAACCCTTAATTCTCATTTATTTATACTTTGCCTCAGCCTTTCTGGTTAGATTCTAAAGGGATTTTTGTCAAAAATAAATTCTGTGGACATTTCTGTTATATGAGGATCACATATTTAAAACTAGCACATACGTCTGATGCTATTACTCACCAGACAGCGTCCGTTAACACAGAGCGCACCAGACTCCTTGTTGCAGGATGTACCATCGAGTACGTGGCCAAAGTTGTAGTAGAAGTTATGTCCCAAAGCCAGGCAGCTGAGCTCACAGGGGTTGGAGCCTGGCAGGGAAAATCTCCAGTCAGTCAATTATTTGTTGTTTATGGAAAAAGAGAGAGTGGAGGTAAGAGAAATGCAAACACAGGAAATAGTACAAGTGAGAAATATTAGGACAAAAGAAGACAGAGACAACATTCAGAGACAAATGTCAAACATTTGTGTTTTAATCAGCACAGCCAGGTTTAACTAAAGGTTTGTGATTTATGTTTATTCTCAAAAGAAACAGATCAACTTTGTCTTTGATTGCTTTTGAGACATGCATTAAAAATATTATAATGTGTCTACTATCATCAACTACCATTCAGATTATACTTTCTGTATTTTCATGAGTCAGAAGATGGATGTGATTGTTTCTTCTTATGTCTGCTTTGTCAGAATAGGATATAGAAAACAAGTTAACTGCATTTATAGAGGTTTTCACTTTTTATTTTTAGACACAAGCTGAAATTTCTATTTAACATCTTGCATAATGTTGCTGCTGCGCAGAAACCTATTATGTTCAGACATGCAACATTTCAGGAAAATACTTTTCCTTTTAAATAAATTAACTCGGTATGATCCGAGTTTGTATTGTTCTCTCTGTGTGTGAGGTCAAAAAGTACAAATAGTTGAAGGTGATTATCTTTACTGCTACATTTAATCTTGTGTAAATAAAAAGCTGTATGTACAAATAATGTATTTCAAGAGTACGCCTCTTTTGTATCAGCTTGCTTCAGAGTGATGCAGTTACAACATTAAGTCATTAACTGTTTTAACCTGTTAACTCATATCTCTACCACAGCTATAAGAAACTAGAATCAACCAATTAGTAAGAGACAGATTTGCTTTTTTAACGTGTTACAATAATTTGACAAAACAGTGAGTGACTGTAAGACAGTGGTGATTACCGTATTTATTCATGTATAATACRATCTCATGTATAATACGACGCCCCCTTTCTTGAGCTTACAAAGCATAAAAAATTTAATCCTCAAACTACCTCCAATTTCATAGAGACCAAGATTTTTCAGCCTTTGCAGTCTTCATACATATCAGTAAAATGATCATTGGACTGTTCATTTTATTTCAACAACATATGTACTAAAAGGTATTTTGACAACAAATATATATCAGCTGTAGCAGCATCATTAGAATTCTGGCATTTTACACATAGTCCACCAGGAGGCGCCAACACAAAAATCAGAGACTTCACATGAGATTTGGGCCATCTTCTGGGGAAAAGCAGATTACTTCCTACTCATGAGCGCCCCCTCTGGTGCGGAAAAGTCTTTTCATGGATACAAACTTTTTCAGAACACCGGTAGACGGCCGCCATTACAGACAAACGTGTTTGTTGTTCGAGGAGCGGCTCGGCCACACGCTAATGTCATTAGTTTGTTATCATTACTAAGGTACAGGAATACCCCCCCCCACACACACACACACACACACTCTTTTCACATCATGTCACCTGCCTGGATCTGTTATTATCTCGCTCTGAAGCATGGAGGAGTGTCAGAGGTAAGCTCGTTTCAACTGCTTTTTACAACGCGGTCACATTTCCGGACTCAATAATTTTGTGAATGAAGCCGATGTTAAAATACATAAGTAAAAATATTTATCCGAGTATAGCACTACCCCCCAACTTTATGAATGATTTTATGGATTTAATTTTGTGTATTATACTTGAATAAATATGGTAAATTAAAAACTGCTTTTTATTTTGTGATATGAGACTTTGGTCTTTGAAAATAACAGTACAGCTACTTGAGTAATGTGTCAAAAAGGTTATTTAAGAATGAGATAATTTATTTTATTTGAACTTTTTCTTTAAATAAATTGTTCAGCTGATCCATGTTACACTGCTGCATATCTCCACAGAGGTGAGCCTTTCTTCTCTAAACTCCATGCATGTCGATCATTATCAAATGAAGGTAAAACGGCAACTCAATGATCTCTTTAGTATAAGTTTTTTTTCCTCCTTACTTCCATGAAACGTCGTCCATCTGAAGGTGTTTCCCGCYACCAACGGCCTGTCATTAAAGGCAGCACACTGCATCTCTCTGAAATCCTCCGAGCCGGGGGGGCACTCCTGTRAACACACAGGAATATTGAGTTCAGCACGATGATTACCTACGATGCAGTGGGAAAAGTTCTCATACCACTTGAGTTTTTCCACATTTTGTCACATTACAACCACAAGCTTCAAAGTATTTTACTGGAATTTTATAGGCCAACACAGTGGTGCATAGTTGTGAAGTGCAATTATGTTCTGTTGTGAAGTTGTACTTTGCCCCCTTTACTCTGAAAGCTAAAATGCAGTGCAGAAGCCACCTAATGAAGTAATTAGGCCCACCTGTGTGTAATTAAACCTCAGTATAAATACAGCTGTTCTGTGTAACCTCAGAGGTTTGTTACAGAGCATTATTTATCAAACAGCATCATGAAGACTAAGAATCACACCAAAGAGGTCAGAAGTAAAGTTGAGAAAGTTAAACTCTGGTGAGGGTATAAAATAATATCCCAAGAGTTAAACAAAGTTCTGTTCAATTCATCATTTAAAAATGCAAACTTTCCAAAATATGAAAGGTGAACTTAAACCGACAGGCTGAACAWTGAAATGAGGAGCATCATAAAGCCTTTAGTAACTCTGGAGGAGCTGCAGAGATCCACAGTTCAGGTGGGACAATCTGTCCACAGGACAAGTCATGCGCTCCATAAAAAGGAAAACGTAGAAGAAAGCTGTTGTTGTAAAAAAATAGCCATTAAAAACAAACATAGTTTTCCTCAAGCCATATGGGAGACACAAAAAAGTGCTCTGGTCAGAAGASGTAAAACTGAACTTTTKTGGCAAAAGTGGAAGAAAACCARCATTTTAAATCCCCCTGAACACACCGTCCTCAYGGYGAAACACGGTGGTGGCAGCATCATGCTGYGGGGATGGTCTTCTTCAGCTGGAACAGGAAAGCTTGTAATGGAAAAATACTTTTTGTTTTAAGCCAGTAATTCATGACATACTGCACTTTAATGACTCAGTTTTTCATGACTGTTTAATGATAGATAAAATGATTATAGCCAGAACAAGATTTGCCAACAGCAATCATTTAAATATCACTTATATTTATCTGTTTTCCCTTCACCTAACAAGGTGCTCAGGATGAAGTTATGTTTTACTGAGATGACATAATGATGTTTGTTAAACAGTATTTATAGGAGGTCTTCTAACTGCCTCAGGGGGAACAGTTTGACAGACAGCCTGTCTGACTCTGTGTTCGTTGTTGCAAACAAACAAATTCAGTCGACCATTTTACTAAGTGACTTTATTCTCCATATCACTTATTTCTGTTTCTTGTTAAAAGAAATATTTCCACAAGGTGTTTAGATGGATGGAGCATAATATAAAACAATTCTGAATGAAAATCTGCAAAAAAGTGCAAAAGACTTGAGATTGTGTTGGAGGATCACTTTCCAGTAGAACAATAATCTGAACCAGTCAGAGCTCCAATAGGACTGTTTATGTCAAACCATTGTCATGTGTTACAGTGGGCATGTTTATTTATTTAAAAAAATAACTAAAATTTTCATCTACTTTACAATTATCTGAACTTTGYGTTATTCTATCATAACAAATCCCAGTAAAATACATGCAGGTTTGTGGTTGTAACTTTTGYAACTTGAGGAAATGTTGAAAAGTGAAGCTGCATGAAGACATTTCAAGACGAAGAATGTCTACAAAATCAAACTCTAAAMCAAATAATCACAGAACTAAATCAGTTTTTTTTTAACTTGAAGCTGTCACTGTTTGTTCCCTTATTTGGACAAAAGTAAAAACACTTTGTCTTCACAGACCAACTTCCCTGGTTTTAATTTAAATAACTAAATGATTTGCGAGAAGAATCTGYGTCCCCTCTTAGAGCTCGTCTGCTCAACAGTCCCAGTTGGTGTGCATTTTTGAGATGACTCTTCACACACTTCTAATAAAACACAGATCAGGACTACAGGCAAGCTAGTCCAGCTCACACATTGTGTCCATGAAGCCTCAGCACTGAAAGCATAAAGCTCTCAGGAAGATGTTATCCTTCTAGTAGCACCTTTATCCCMATCTGTGGTTGTTTCACTCATCTGCAGCCATGAACACCGACGCTTCATCATCCCATCAAACACTTTGACACTTTTATTTTAAGAACAATGGGCTTCATGCAAGAACATTTTTGTATTCTTATCCTAAATTTCTCTTACTTTTGTTTGTACGAGCATGTCACGTCAGCTTCAACAAACTCTTCTATCTTCAGGAAAAGTTTGTAAATGAGGAGCGGAGATTTACATAATTACCACCCAAAAATCTTTTTAAAAAAACCACCATATAAGGCTATATGTTTCCTGCCACACATACAGTACCAGGAAAAGTTCATTCATAAATGACATCGCAAAATAAAAAAGAACTAGTTTGGAGATTGAAGTTCTGCTCTCAGAGATCCACAGAAAAAATAGTCAGTTTTAGCAGCGTCAGCTGTGGAATTAAAGGATCTGCTTTAAAGCCGAGGAATGAACTGACGACTGCTGTTAATGTTGTGTCTCCTGTGGGTCGTAGAGTCACAGAAATAAAAATCTAAATCATATTCATCTCTCTCTGTAGTCCTGCTCTGGTTTTTCTTTGGTCAAATATTTTTAATTTCAGTGTAAACAACTGTGTTACGTAGGTTTCACTTATTCAGGAGCACCCCCCCACCCCCAACCAACCGTCAAGTGTCAGATGCGTTCCTGGAGAAAAATAATTTCAAAATGTCTCAAAACTTTAATTAACCTCATATTATT